AAGGTTCTAGGCAAGGGACTCAGAATTCTTTGAGAGCAAGTAAAAAGCTTTCTACATTTAGGGACCTCGGAGCCCTGTTCGCCTAAAGGAGCCCTGTGGTGTAGTGATTACACGACGGGCTGCTAACTGTTAAGGTTGGCAGTTCTAAACCTCCAGCCACTCTGTGGGAGAAAGATGAGGCTTTGTACTCCCATAAGGAGTTACAGTCTCAGAAACCCACAGGGACAGTTCTACCCTGTCCTATAGGGTCCTTATGAGTCAGAATTGACTCCACGCAGTGAGTTAGGGATATGTCATTGAAGGGGATCTCCCACACCCCTAGATCCAAGGATCAGAAAATGAGGCAGCAGTTGCCTGACAGGACGAGGTTTATTGGGGTTCTGGACACACTATGGAGTAGGGTGGGATTGAGGCTCACACGGGTAAGGGGACCCCCAATGGAGCCCCGCCCTTCTCTTTGGAGTTGGACGCAGAGACAGACAAATTGACGGAGATGATGAGACAGACGAGTGCTACTGCAGAGGGGGAGGGAGGGCAAGCCCATGGCGCGGCACCGCCCAGCTCTGACGTGCTCACAGGATGGAGGGCGCCGTGGACGAGTCCACCCTATAGGGTGGGAGCAGCGTCCGACTACCTCTCGCTAAGGGATACCGCCTGGACCGGTCCATTCCAAGTGGATAGGGGTGGAGGTGGGGTTGCATGTATCTGGACCAGTCGTTCTACTACTGGGCAGGGAGACTGTGGGCCAGCCTATTCTAGTGTTTTGGGGTGGGGTTGATTGTAACGGCCCATCCATTCCAGTGGGGAAGGGAGCCCTAATTTGCAGGGAGAGGGTGGGTGGGGGACACACATCTACCTTGGTCCTTTTTCCGGAATCGGGAATGAAATGGGAGATGGCAGATCACTGTGATATCTGCTTTGGGGCGTGTGGGATCTGGGCTCTATTGTGATATTTGGGGATGAGGAGGGTCCAGGGAAATTCCAGGATACGGTCCCTCCCACATTCTTCAGACCAAGGTCTTTGGGAATGATGGCTGTCAGGTGAGGTGGTCTTCCCTTGGGGGCGTGAGGGGTTGACATTTTGAGTAGGGCCTTCAAGAAGTGGGGCTGCTTGTGGGGGACCCAGTTCTCATCCCCAGGTCCCCTCAGCCTAGGGCCTACTGATTTGGGGGGTGCCCTGATGCATTTCCCATGGGCCTCAAACTCGAGAGACTCTCCATAGTTTCCTTTTTTTTGCGGAGGGGGGGTGTTCCCCAACTCTGACGCTCTGAGGAGGTTCTGGTTTATCTGTGGCCCCCATGTGCGTCCAGGCCCCTGTCACTCAGGGGCCTGGATGGGTGTTGGTGGCCCCACCTCTGCAGCCAGGATCCCCTCCGGCTCGGGCCTGTGTCTGGGCTCGGCGAGGCCTTCTGGCCTCTTGATGGGGTCCCCCAGCCCCGCAGGGCGAGGGCGGGGGCTTTCAGTCCATGCCTCGGTGCAGCTTCAGGTGGCGCGAGAGGTTGCTGAGCGTGATGAAGCCCTTGCCACAGATGTGGCAGGGGAAGGGCCGCTCGCTGCCGTGCAGCAGCCGGTGCCGCTTGAGGTAGCACTCGTGGCGGAAGAACTTGCCGCACTCCAGGCACGGGAACGGCTTCTCGCCCGTGTGCACCAGCACGTGCCGCTCCAGGTCGCGCGGCGAGCGGAACAGCTTCTCGCACTC